GTCAGTGAGAATTTCAAGCCAGTGGATCTTAGCTTGCTAGAATCCGTGGATGTGGGTGCTGAGCTAGACCAGTTGGCTCCCTGGCTTCAGTCCCCTTTCCAGGGAAGTGAATAGTTCTGTCTTGCTGGTGTTCCAAGTGTCACTGAGATATGAAAAAACAAAAACAAAAAACCTCCTGCTACTAGCTTGGTGTCTGTCCAAACGGCCACCCAGTTTTGTGCTTGAAACCTAGGGCCCTGGTGGCGTAGGCACCAAAGAGAATCTCCTGGTCTGCCAGTTGCGAAGACTATGGGAAAAGCTTAGTATCTGGGCCAGAATGCACCATTCTTCCCAGTACAGTCTCTCATAGCTTCCCTTGGCTAGGTAAGGGAAATCCCCCAACCCCTTGCACTTCCTGGGTGAGGTGATGCCCCACCCTGCTTCAGCTCGCTCTCCATGGGCTGCACCCACTATCCAACCAGTCCCAGTGAGATGATCTGGGTAACTCAGTTGGAAATGCAGAAAACACCCACCTTCTGCATCGATCTCGCTGGGAGCCACAGACCAGGCAGTTCCTATTTGGTCATCTTGCCAGCACTCCCCCTCCTTTTTTTTTTTTTTTTGAGACAGTCTTGCTCTGTCCCCAAAGTAGAAGTGTAGTGGCGTGATCTTGGCTCACTGCAACCTCTGCCTCCCAGGTTCAAGTGATTCTCCCACCTCAGCCTCCCGAGTAGCTGGGATTACAGGCACCCACCACCAAGCCTAGCTAATTTTTGTATTTTAGTAAAGACAGGGTTTCAGCCTGGCTGGCCTTGAACTGCTGACCTCAGGTGATCTGCCTGCCTCAGCCTGCCAAAGTGCTGAGATTACAGGTGTGAGCCATCATGCCTAGCCCTGCACAAGGCATTCTGATACACAATGCAAGGTGAAACTATATTACAAAAAATTACTGAAAATATCCTTTATCGTTCACTTTTCTTTTTACCCAGTATTGAATCATGCACAAGTGTGGATGACTGGGGTAAACAGAAAATATACAAAAAGTAATTTAGTAAAATGACCTTCTTTAAATTCCTCTTAGGGAAAGAGACCCCTTGTAATATTAGTGCCTATAGATTTAGAGGGTGACTGGGGTAAATAGAAAATATATGAAAAATAATTTAGTAAAATAATCTTCTTTAAATTCCTCTTAGGGAAAGAGACCTCTTGTAATATTAGTGCCTATAGATTTAGAGGGTTTCAACTTGGAAAAAAATTCATTTCCTAAAACAGTCCTTTAAAAACTATTACAATATTGATCATTCCCTATACATTCTCATCCCATCCTTTTAACATGGTTATATATGTTAATATTTTGAAAAGTTTTCCTCATGAAGTTTTACTTTTCAGTAACTACATGTTCAGAAATAATATGAATAGGTTAAAATACATCAAGCAATACAAATTAAGATTCTTGTATTTTACTGTTTCTACGTTGTATCAATATAAAAATAAGATGAGGTTCACAGACAACAAAAGAAAAAAAAAAGCTGAGTGCAGGGCTCATGCCTGTAATCTCAGCACTTTGGGAGGCCAAGGCAGGTAGATCACCTGAGGTCAGGAGTTTGACACCAGGCTGGCAAAAATGGCGAAACCGTGTCTCTACTAAAAATAAAAAAATTAGCCACTTGTGGTGGCTTCTTCAGTCCCAGCTACCAGGGAGGCTGAAGCACAAGAACCACTTGAATCTGAAAGGCAGAGGGTGCAGGGAGCCGAAATCGTGCCATTGCACTACAGCCTGGGCAACAACGCAAGACTCTGTCTTAAAAAACAAAACAAAACAAACAAAAAAAAAACAAACAGATAAGGTGGACTATATCAATATTTAATACTTCTGTAAATCCCAGGATACATTTAGCACACTGAATAGAAGAGTACTGGCATAGGAGAAAATATTTGCAAATCATATATTGCTTGAAAGGCTAACAACCAGAATATATGAAGAACTCCTACAACTCAACAAAAACCCAAAAAATCTAATTAATAAATGGACAAACGTCTTGAACAAACACTTCTCCAAAGAAGATACACAAATGGACAGTAAGCACAAGAAAACATGTTCAACATCACTAATCATTAAGGTTATGCAAATCAAAACAACAATGAAATACCATCTCATCCACTAGGATGACTATAATCAAAAACAAAACAAAACAAAACAAAAAAAACCCAGAAATTTAATGTTGGCAAGAATGTGAAAAAGTTGGAACCCTGACTGTTGGTAAGAATGTAAATAAAATGGTGTGGCTGCTACAGAAAACAGTATGGTAATTTTTCAAAAAATTAAGAAGAAAATTATAATATGATCCAGCAATTTCACTTCTGGGTATATACCCAAAAAGACTGAGAGAGAGCATTATTCACAATAGCCAAGGGGTGGAAGCAACACATATGTCCAATGACAAATAAATGGCTAAACAAAATGTGGCATATACTGAAGGGGATCCGAGTACGCTACTCTAAAAATATGCTGTTTTGCCATATTAATTATTTCAAGCTGAAGGCAACTAGAAATAGCAGATGTAGGAAGGGGTCTCTGCTCTCCCTCTTTCTGCCTAAATGTAGATAATAGATTAAATTTTGTTTTGTTTTTAGTTCTTTGAGACACAATTGAAATTCTGTACCTACAATCTGTCTTGGGACATTAAGAAACTGGTCTAATTAAGACTGTATATTTAAACTTATAAAATTTTGCACTGGGTAGGTGCAGTGGCTCACACCTGTAATGCCAGCATTTTGAGAGGCCAAGGAGGGTGCATCGTCTGAGACAAGGAGTTTGAGACCAGCTTGACAAACATAGCAAAACCCCGTCTCTACTAAAAATACAAAAAAAATTAGTCAGGCATTATGGCTCATGCCTGTAGTCCCAGCTACTTGGGAGGCTGAGGGATGAGAATTGCTTGAACCTGGGAGGCAGAGGTTACAGTGAACCGAGATGGTACCATTGCACTCCAGCCTGGGCAACAGAGTAAGACTCCATCTCAAATAATAAATAAATAAATAAATAAATTTTTAAAGAAATTTTGCACATTTTCAAGAACTAGCAAAACAAATTATTCACTGACAGCTGTAAAGATAAAATACTTTTGGCTGGGTGCAGTGGCTCATGCCTGTAATCCCAGCACTTTGGGAGGCTGAGGGGGGCGGATCATGTGAGGTCAGGAGTTTGAGACTAGCCTGAACAACATGGAGAAACCTGTCTCTACTAAAAATACAAAATTAGTCAGGTGTGGTGGTGCATGCCTGTAATCCCAGCTACTTGGGAGGCTGAGGCAGGAGAATCGCTTGAATCTGGGAGGTAGAGGTTGCAGTGAGCCAAGATCGCGCCATCACACTCCACCTAGGCAACAAGAGGAAAACTTCATTTCAAAAAAAAAAAAAAAAAACTATAACAAGATGACTTTTTTGATAACTACATTATGAAATTTTATAAGTAAACAGTTTCTGTAGCTGATTAGATTTTGAAAGCAGCTTATGTCATGGATCACTTACAATGGTAGAACTGATTAGGAGAAATTACTATGGGAAATTTGGGACTGTATATGAGTGCTAATNAAAAAAAAAAAGATGAAATACTTTTCTGAGTACATAAACGTGTTAGGGACTCTTAGCAGTTGTCTAGTTTCATTTGTATATGCACTCCTTAATACTGTTTTTTGTTTCTTTTCATTAAAAAATATTAACATCAAATAAATTTGTAAACTTTATTATTACTATTATTATTATTATTTTTAGACAGAGTCTTGCTCTGTCACCTAGGCTGGAGTGCAGTAGCCCGATCTCGGCTCACTGCCACCTCCACCTCCTGGGTTCAAGCTGTTCTTCTGCCTCAGCCTCCCCAGTAGTTGGGATTATAGGCGCATACCATCATGCCCAGCTAATTTTTGTATTTTTAGTAGAGATGGGGTTTCACCATATTGGCGAGGCTAGTCTTGGACTCCTGACTTCGTGATCCACCTGCCTCAGCCTCCCAAGTGCTGGGATTACAGGCGTGAGCCACTGTGCCCAGCCAAACTTTTTTAACTGTTAGTCTTTCTTTTGTCAGCTTAATTCACAGGCCTCAGGCACATAACATAAGATAATAGAGGAAAAGTTTTTCCTACCCTACAATACGTATAATGGACTACACAGCCTTTAAATAAAAGGAAATTATTAATCTCAGCAGTTTGGGTGGCCGAGGTGTGTGGATCACAAGGTCGGGAGTTCAAGACCAGCCTGGCCAAGATGGTGAAATCCTGTCTGTACTAAAAATACACAAATTAGCTGGGCATGGTGGCAGGCACCTGTAATCCCAGCTACTCATGAGGCCGAGGTGGGTGGATCACGAAGTCAGGAGTTCAAGACCAGCCTGGCAAAGAGGGTGAAACCCTGTCTCTATTAAAAATGCAAAAATTAGCTGGGCATGGTGGCAGGCACCTGTAATCCCAGCTACTTGGGAGGCTGAGGCAAAGAATTGCTTGAAACCAGGAGGCAGAGGTTGCAGTGATGCAGTGAGCTGAGATTGTGCCACTGCACTCTAGCCTGGGCAACAGAGTAAGACACCGTCTCAAAAAAAAAAAAATAATTAATTAAAAAAAAAAAGAAAATTATCACAAGTGCAACATGGATCAACTTGAGGACATGATGTTCAGTGAAATAAGCTTGCCACAAGAAGAAAAATGTTATATAATTAATTTATGTGAGCTATCTAGAGTAGTCAAATTCCAAGAAACAAAGTAGAATGATGGTTGCCAGGGGCCGGGGGATAGGAAAATAGGGAGTTGTTTCATGGGTACAGATTTTCTTTTCTGCAAGATGAAAATGTTCTAGATATTGGCTGCACAACAAAGTGGATATACTTAAGGCTATTGAACTTAGATATGGTAACATGACCAATTTTAGGTTATACACTTTTTAACACAAAAATAATTTTTAAAAAGTAAATGAAGTTAAAATATGACATTTGATCTGAATTGTTAAAATCATGTATTTCTAATACTTACCTACACTGCTGAGAAACATAGTAAGATATAAAATCCTAATAGATCTCCATCGGCTCTTATAATGCTCTTCAGTCTCTAAAATGTCCCATTCTCTAGGTATAAAGAAGAAAAAAGTAGGATAAATTTATCTCATTACATGCGGATCTTTAGTGCCAACAATTTTGTTTTCTCCTAGAGTTATGAAAATGATGTGAGAGAGGTAGAATTTACTAATATTTGTTCTGCTGCACTAATTTATGAATAAGCATTATTCTTTTGAATTTCCATGGATTGTATTTATGTATCATTGTATATAGAAATCTGGGAAACAGTATAGTTTTTAAAGGGGAAACATTTTGCAGGGCAATTATTTTGCTACTGTTGGCATGCACAAATTTATTAATCAAGAGTGTTGTAATTTGTAAAACTAACAATGAATAAACTATATCAAGATAAACTAACTACAACTAGATCTCCCATAGCTACTAAGTACTTAAAAACTAATAACTGTAATCAGTATCACATGCTCTACTTGATGACAGCAAATTAAATTGCTGCAGGCAGCTGTTTTGGCTTCCTACTTCAGAAAACAGGAGTGATAACAGGACGTTTAACATAACCTAAGACAGGCTGGCGCAGGTGGCTCACGCCTGTAATCCCAGCACTTTGGGAGACTGAGGCAGGGGGATTACGAGGTCAGGAGATCAAAACCATCCTGGCTAACATAGTGAAACCCCGTCTCTACTAAAAATACAAAAAATTAGCTGGGCATGGTGGCATGCACCTGTAATCCCAGAGGTTTCAGTAAGCTGAGATCACACCATTGCACTCCAGCCTAGGCGACCCAGCGAGACTCTGTTTCAAAAAAAAAAACAAAAAAACAAAACCTAAGACATTTTCAGCTTTCGGATCTCCTTAATGAGTTAACAGATAAATTTTACCAGCAGACCAAAGAGAGACCATGAACCCTCAGACTTAACTGATCTTTCAGATAAGCATCTGACCTGGACCAAGGGCATGTATACTAACTAGACATCCTACCTCCATTAGGTGACACGTGAGTCTATATATCCATTACATTTTCACACATACAATAGAAAGAGTTAACAAGTTTACCTTAATGTGAGCATTATCTTTTCAAAATAATCAAGACATGCAGAACAGACAAAATGCCTTCCTATGTTCCAAGATTAGTTTCTTAAAAGTGTCAAATTTGTCTCCAAAAATAAAACTTTTTTTTTTTTTTAAATGTGATACGGTTGGGAGAGATAAAGAAGAAAGGGAGAAGAGAAACAATATTTTTTAGATGTATTACATGCCAACTGTATTAGTTTGTAACATAAAGTGTTTAACACTGTATATACAATTCCATAGAAACAAGCCTCTTCCGAGTCAAAGGAGAGTAGGTAAGAAAAAAATAAAAACAAAAGACCTTAATGATAATGTAACTTACCTGAAAAAATACCAGAACCCCAGATGCCCATACTTTGAAATCAATATACTAGAATTTGAATAAAAAATCAGATATATCTAAGTTAGGGAATCAAGAAGTAAATTATTTGATTCCAAAAATATATAACACAATTGTTTGAGTGCCTTCAAACTGATTTAGAGCTCAGTCAAAATCTTTCTTCTTTTAATGCCAATTATTAAATATTGAAAGGATAAAATTAGAAAATAATAATTTAAAGGCTACTTTCCATGTAATAATGGAAGAATCACCAATGGATGCTGAAACAACTGGTTGAAAGGTTGATAAGGAAAGGATAGTCAAAAGCCCTTAAGTGTCACTCCAACGTCTGCTTACTAATTAAAAAATGGAACACTAACCTTTATAATTCAAACATATAGCAGTCGCCCTCTTAACAAGTGGTCACATTTGACATTCTCAAAAGTAGGATGTCCTGGCATCCTATCGTATCTTTTAATGTAATGTACTGGGATGTTCTCAACACAACCCATGTGATATTCCTGCCAGAAATGGCCAGGGTCTATTTTGAAATAAACAGTCCATAAATCCAGAATATGAGATGTTCTACAGAAATACTGACCTAGACTCTTCAAATATTTTAATGGTGACATGAACAGAGATAGGTCAAAGGAGAGTTTTAGGTTAGAGGAGTCTAAAAAGACATAACAATGAATGCATAAACATTGATTAGCTCGTCTATGTGGCTGCTGGTTTTTTGTTTTTATAAAGAATATAAAGTATATTTTTGGAACAATTGCAAAAACATTGAGTATTAATTATATATTACATGATATTCTTGAATTAATATTGTATTTCTAGTTGTGGTAACAGTGATGGAGTTGTGTAAAATAATTTCTTTGTTCTTGGGAGATGTAAGCTGCAATCTGGGATACTTGGGACACAGTGTCACAGTGTCTGCAACCTACTTTTGAGTAGTTTGGCAAAAGAAGTGTGTGTGGGTGTGTGGGTGTGTGTGTACCCACGGAAAAATTTCAGCAGTGTGGAAAAGGCTAACAGTGACAGGATAGAGAGTGTTCATGATTTTTTTCAACTTTTCTATGGATTTAACATTTTTCAAAATAAAACGATTTACTTTTCCTTCTTTTTAATTAAATAATTATAACTTCGGTGAAAAAAAAATATCATTCTACTTTGTTGGAGATCGTAGAAACATAGGAGAATGCAACTGTCCTTCAATGAATTGACCATATTTATTACATTTTCTTAACTTTGGTGATTCAGACAAATGTGTCGCATGCCTGAGATTGAATTTCCAGAGGCTTCTTTCTTGTATTACCAGGGTATAAACAGGAATGCTGCATTTTCAAGATGATTTGCTTAACTTCTAAAATTCCTTTCTATAATTACTGTTGTATTCTGGCATTAGTTCCCTATATGAAATTCTCCTTCTAGTAAAACTGTAGTGCTACAATTTTATCCTGTTCAACATTTCTATCACAAACTGAAATACTCCAAAGGATAGCATGCTTGTCGAACTTGTGACTTAAAATTAAAAGGAATACATAATATAGTGGAGTGAACTGATTAGCAAAATGAGTTAGATAAAATTTAACAATGGGCAGGCACAGTGGCTCACACCTGTAATCCCAGCACTTTGGGAGGCCAAGGCAGGTGGACTACTTGAGGTCAGGAGTCTGAGACCAGCGTGGGCAACATGGTGAAATCCCAACTCTACTAAAAGTACAAAAATTAGCTGGGCATGGTGGCAGGCGGCTATAATCCCAGCTACTTGGGAGACTGAAGCAAGAGAATCACTTGAACCTGGAAGGCATGGGTTGCAGGGAGGTGGAGGTTGCAGTGAGCCAAGATTTTGCCATTGTACTTTAGCCTGGGCGACAGAGTGAGACTCTGTCTAAAAAAAAAAAAAAAAAAAAAAAAAGAAAGAGAAAAGAAAGAATTGTGTGCTCACTGACAGAAGAGCCTACGTAGTGGTATAACAGTTACAGAAATAAAAAGACAAACTGAAAATATTCTATAAAGATATACTCTATAAGGACAGATGCCCTAATAATATAAATTTTAAAGAGACTAGGCTAAGGTTGCAAGGAAAATTTGAAACCACTTGTAACATTGGATCAGTAACCTGTGAGCTACAAATGGTTTTTACAGATGAATACTTGTTATCAGTTTGATGACAGAAAACACCAACTCTGAAGTACAAGTAAGGAAAATGTCATCCCCTCCCCCACCAAATTCGATCCCTTTCATTAACAGACTTACATTATACTTATTTATTGTTATATTTTAAATGTCATTACAAAAAACTTTTGTGGAATTTGTTTTCTGGTTATCTAAATATCTATATAATATCTTCGATTTTGCTCCTTGCCCTGAACCAGCCTAAAATATTTACAATATGGGCCTTTACAGGTAATGTTTGCCAACTCCTGTTGTCTTAAGCAAAGCTCCATAGAGGGGGTCAGTGGGAAGCACTGAGGATTCAAGAGGCCTAGCTCCACCAGACCAGCAAATAACAACCAACCTTGTTTGTGAGGAAAGGTTGGCAGTGACCCAGACATGTTTGTGCAATATATTCAAAGTGAATAGGTCCTGCCAACTAGTTGTACATAGGTTTACTTTACTAGGGAATATACTTGTGTTTTTAAAGACATATTGATTATTTTCAAAATATTCCTTTTTTGTTTTTAAAATGCTGAATCTAGAACCTCAATCAGAGGTATTGATTATTGGCAGGAACACCTAAATTTGGACAGATCCTAATGAGCATCAATTACTTGGATCAAATCAAAGTTAAGAGTATGAAAATAATTTCTCTTTTGTACAAGGTGACAGAATGTACCAGAAGACCACACTTAACCATAACTCAGGGATCTGCAATTTTTCTGGAAAATAGCTAAAAACCAGGAAGAAGCAAAAAGAATTCTGAGAAAACCAAATGTCACAAAGTCCATGCACTCAAGCTTACGCACTTAACTAATAGTAAAGACATTTAGCTCTCAGTCATAACTTCCAGGTTGTAATGACACACAATTATATTAAGCATAGATACAAGGTTATCAAAGCTATAACAAACAAGAAGCCCCAAAATAAAGCTGGTGGAAAGAGTATGGTGACAGCAACACCAAGAAAAAAAACTGTTGCTGCCAGATTTCAAAAACATGATGCAGAACAGTCTGCCAGAAATAGAATAGTCAGAAAAACTAAAAGCAGGCATAAGTACTTAAAAAGTATAGCAGTGGGCCCAGCGTGGTGGCTCACACCTTTGGGAGGCTGAGGTGGGTGAATCGCTTGAGGTTAGGAGTTCAAGATCAGCCTGGCCACATGCTGAAACCCCGTCTTTACTAAAAATACAAAAATTAGCTGGGTCTGGTGGCCTGCACCTATAATCCCAGTAACTTGGGAGGCTGAGGCAGGAGAATGGCTTGAATCTGGGAGGCGGAGGTTGCAGTGAGCCAAAATCGCACCACAGAGTGAGACTCCATCTCAAAAAAANAAAAAAAGCATAGCAGTGTAGAATAAATAAATTAGTATAGAAGCAAACAGTCCCAAATGTCTCAATAGGCTCTAAGAACATCACCCTGTTAAAATACATTTCAGCATCGATATTTGCTTTAGTGATCTCAAGATAAAATCAAGTAAAGATAAAACTGCATTCCATATACTGTTTAGTAAACTGAGGACCAGAGAAATACATTTTCCAAAGGGTCTTGAGTTAGAGTGATCAAAAAAGGATGGTACTTGAGAGGAACAAATGAGTAAAAATATGGTCATAGACAGCTGAAGTTTAACTGAATTTATTAATTTACTTGAGATAATTATACATATATTTCAAATAAAATAATAATTGTTTTCCTAAAGCTAAAAATACATAAGTATGCAGTAAGAAACAAAAGTTAAACATTTCTGAATCACTGTCCATAAACCAGGATGAAAATAACCAGAATTACATGAATCAAAATACTGACGCGTTATTCTTTCAATGTCTTAAAATTAGTCTTTATTTATAAATGTGGCATAGGACAAATGTGAGCTCATTTTAGACAGGTTTACTTGTTAACAAAGTATCAAGAAGTTGTCAGGCAATTCTAAGACCGACATCTTCAAGTATCATTAAAAGCATCATTTTGGAACTTATGTGAAATATGGAAAGTGATCAGCTACAAAGGGCCAAATATGGAACGCAGAAGATACACAATGTGGTGGCTTGGCTGCTGCAACAGAAAGCAGCAGCCTGGGTTTCTCTAGCCCCGTCACCCGAACCCACGGACTCTTAGTCGCACCGTGCGGCCAGACGCACTTTTCCCTAAGTTGGGAGCGAATATCCTGGGCTCACACAACCCGGCCGCCGGCTCCCACTGCGCTGGCACCCCTCTGGCAGCGAGGGTTCGTTCCAGTACGGTTGATGCCCGGAAAGGAGCAAGTCCCAACAGCGCAGGAGGCTGAAGGGTCCCTCCACGAGGATCTGCTTACCTGTTTCCAGGTGTGTCGCCCAAGAGCGGCTCCTGTTCACTCTCGACATGTAGGCCCGCCATACTTACAGCCCCTACAAGGTGTCGTGCGCCCAAGGTGTCGTGCGCCCAACTCTCGCGACACCTGCTTTTTCCCCATTCGGGGTAGCGTAAAGCTGGCAAAACAAGCCTGCAAGTGCGCCTGCGCATCTGACGGTCAGAAGTGGGCGGAGCGCCCCGAGGTCATAGGCGGGGTCACGCGGGAGGCCGGACGGCGCAGGGAGAAAGGAGGTTGAGTCCTCAGCCTCTTCCTCCGGTCCGCGCTTCCCAGACTGACAGGGACTGAGAACCTAGGAGAGCTCGGGGCGTGTCCAAACGGCCGCCCCGCCCCGGTCTCGACCTTTTTCCTCCTCTTCGCCTTCGGCGGTACCTAGCGTTTCGGTTCCTGGAAAGGCTACGGGAGTTGCTGTTCGGGCTCTGACTAAAGTCGAGTCCTCGAAAGGGAGCCTCGAGAGCGGCAGTGCTGGGAGACTTGGGTCAGTTCAACCGCAGACGCCCGCCAGGCAGCCAGTAAGTAGCCGGCCCGGGCCGAGCTGCCCGCGCCTCTTAGCGCGCCGTGTACGTGCCGGGAAGCAGGGATCCGGGGCGCGGAGATTGGCGGGAGACGCGGGGGTCCAGAACGCGGGGTGAGTCTTGGGGCGAGAGACAAGGCTGGAGTCCGTGGCGCCCTCCGCAGGTCCGAGGTAATGGGGGCAACAGGGCGGGCAGTTCCTTTCCCCAGCAGAAGGTGGAGGTGGCTTCCAGCTCTCTTCTCTAGCTTGGCCAGCTGCAAAGGCGCCTTACCTGGAGTGCTTGTCAGAGCCAGGCCTGAAGGTAGGATCCGCTACTTGTAACCTGCAGGTCCCCAGTGCGCACCCCAGCAGCGCCGGCGCCTACTGGGGGCTCAGCCTTGCAAAATGCCACTCAGCAGAGCCTGGTGCTGAAACATGTGATTTGAAAAATGCACAGCACCTGCCTAGCAATGACTAGCTCCTTTCGTCACAAGGAAGGTGACATTTTTAGAAAACGCGATGGATTTCTTCACTGGATCTCCATGTTTATTTCCTGGTGATTATGCATTAACGTCTTATCTCTACTATTAGGCTTGTAGGCTAGCTGGTGCCAGTAGTCATTGTGTGTCTCATAAATGACCGTTTTATTAGCGCTAGATACATTCTCATGTAATTTCATTTGATCACAGCTATGCTATGAGATAGGCAAAGCAGACACATTTCTATTTTACCGAAAACTAAGATCCTGGCAAGTTAACCCAGAGTCACTCGTTAGGGAAGTGGCAGAGTTGGAAACCAAACTTAATTTTTTTCAGTTAATATTTATGAGCATTTACCCTACGCTAGGTCCTATACTGGTTACACAGTTGTGTATGGCATATGCCATCACTTCTGATCTTCATGTCATTTGTGACCTTGTGTTCGTCAGCCCGGCAAAGTTCACTGGTGAACACCTTAACTTGAAACGTGCTATTAGTTCAGAAATATCTTCTAAATCAAGACCTGATATTTTGTACTTGGATTCATTCTTGCAGATTCATTTGTAACAGCTCACAAAAACATGTCAGATTCCTATTATTGGTTCCAAGAAGATAGTTAGGTAGAAAATTTAGTATTTTCTTCCCATAATGTCGCTTTACTATATTGTCGTTTTTAATCCAGGGCTAGCAATGTATGTCACGTATATGGTGGACAAGGGGATGTTTATCCAGTATAGCAGTAAGCACAATGGTTCCTATATGTTGGATGAATGCTCATTGAATTACCTCATCTCATCCTTAAAACTATCCTCTGAAGTGGGAATTGTCTCAGGTATACAAAGAAATGGAAGGCAGGCAGATTAAGTAACTTGCCTGGAATCATACAACTAACAAGCAAAAGAGCTAGAATTCAAGAAACAGGACTCCTGATTCTAAAGCCTGTGCTCTTTACCACCAGGCTTCTTATGGGAAAAATGGCAAAACGGCAAGAAGAATCTTCCTTCATATCTCATAAAAATATATAATAGATATTCAGTTTTTGTGTAAGTGAAATGATTGGCTACCATGTATTAGGGCAGGTATTACTTCCTGTTTATAGGTTAAGGTGGCTTACTCAAGGTCATACAGCTAGTGGAGGAATCCCAGTCCTCCAACACTGCTCTTTTCCATTGTTGCCTCCAAGTGATGACTTCAGACCATAAAAGCACATGGAATGAGTACATGTACAGCTGGTGAAATCTAAGTAAGCTTAGTGTATTATACCAGTAGGAAAAAAAAAAAAAAGGAAAAACTCTTTCTTAGGAACACACCCATAACATCCAAACAAACATTTAAAAACAAAACAATATATTTTTATAAAACCCATGGAAAAGAGGAGCTAAATTTGAAGAGATTAGATTATTTCCCAAATGTTTCACTCAAGAATATGAGACAATCCATTTGGTGGATTTCCTTAGGTGACTGGCCGGAATAGATACCCACGCCCCTTTCAAACAAACTTCCTATTTTCCTACTCTTGTTTAGTGTAAGATTAAAAGAAATTCTATTTGTTGAATTATATTTGTGAAACTAGGGAAGTAGATTTTAACTGGATATCTGAGGTATCTAAACCCTTTCTTAGCTACTTAAACTTGTACAGACATTATTTAGAAGTAAACTTATAAAGCTGTCTTTTTGTTAGGTAGGTGAATACATTCTTGTAAATGGTAGTATTTTTTAAATTTTAATTTATGCCTTTGAGATATATATCACCAATGTAAGGATAAAAGTCCAGAAAAAAACTAGTGTTGCATTGTTAAATAGGTACTAGAATGACAGGAAATAAAAGTACTAGATAGCATAATAAATGATGAGTGTCACTTTGGCAATAGAGCTCATATCTAGGAAAGACTTTTTATTTCTTGGCACTGTATTAGAACTTCTATTTTTGTTTCACTTTGTTTTTACCTTTCCCATTGATAATTGTGTCATTTTGGCTTGATACATACTTCAAAAATAGGTTCTATTTCTGAAGAAGCTCATTGTTGTCTGTCCATCCTGAAGTTGGGACGTTTAAGTATCTGGCATGGCTCCAGATGGTGCCTCATTTTGATAATTTGGAGCTATGTTCACCCTGGACTTGGATTTTTATCTGTTCGTGGTGGCACTGGATACCCTGGACCCAGCTAGCCCTGTCTAGAAAGACCTACGTGTTTAGAGAGTTCCACAAAAACTGAGTTTTTTATGTTGTTCTTGGAGGTGAAATGGGATTTAAGAAGATTGGTAGAACCCCAAATCTCAGAACCAAATTTATACTAACCTATATGTGCGTTTGATTTACTTTCTGTTTCTCATTTATTAGTTGCTTACTAGCAGGTAAATATAGTAGGGAATATGCTGTGTCTCGGCTTGGAGTGCTGACTTTTGTGGCCTATTATACAGGAAATTAAAGTGATTTGGGAAGGTTTTCTTTTTTCTTTGGTTTTTTTTTTCTTTTTTTTGAGACGGAGCTTTGCTCTCATTGCCAAGCTGGAATGCAATGGTGTACAATATCAACTCGCTGCAGTCTCTACCTCCCAGGTTCAAGAGATTCTCCTGCCTCAGCCTCCCAAGTAGCTGGGATTACAGGCACCCACCACCACACCTGACTGATTTTTATATTTTTAGTAGAGACATAGTTTCACCATGTTGGCCAGGTTGGTCTCGAACTCCTGACCTCAGGTGATCTGCCCACCTTGGCCTCCCAAAGTGCTGGGTTTACAGGCACCAGCCACTGGGAAGGCTTTCTAGTTTGGATTGAAAACTAGAAATAAGTAAACAATTTAGACAAATAATAAATATAGTACTTTACACAAAATATTTGAAAAGTTCATTATACTTAGGTCCTTTCTTGCTTCCTTTGCAACTTTCTAATTCTATATTTTTGTCTTACCTTGGTTTTATCTACTGACCTAGAAGAATATCAAAATTTAGGAAAATAGAGCAGTATATTACTTTTCTTCTTACTGTAGAATGTAAGTGTTGGATTTTTGTTTTGTTTTGTTTTTTTTGAGACAGGATCTTGCTCTGTTACGCATGCTGGAGTGCAATGGTGCTACCATGCTCCCCGTTGCCTCAACTTCCCAGGCTTACACAGTCCTCCCACCTCAACCTCCCGAGTAGCTGAGACTACCTGCACCACCACACCTGGCTAGATTTCCAAATTTTTTTGCAGAGACAGGGTCTCACTGTGTTGCCAGGACTTGTCTTGCGCTCCTGGGCTCAAGTGATCTTCCTGTCTTGGCCTCCCAAAGTGCTAGGATTATAGGCATGAGCCACGGTACCTGTCGAGGATTGTTTTTTTTTTTTTCTTTTAAGATACAGGGTCTCACTGTGTTGCCCAGGCTGGTTTCAAACTCCTGAGCTCTAGCAATCCTCCCTCCTCAGCCTCCCAAAGTGCTAGGATTACAGATGTGAGCCACCACACCCAGCCTAGCAAGGATTTTAAATTTTATTTTACTATCATGGATTCCATTTATTGTTATTGATGCCATGGATGTTAGAAAGGAAGATGATGTCCCTGGTTCATTTTCTGCCATGTTAAGAAAATAAGTAGGCCGGGTGTGGTGACTCATGCCTGTGATCCCAGCACTTTGGGAGGCCAAGGCGGGTGGATCACTGGAGGTCAGGAGTTCAAGGCTAGCCTGACCAACATGGAGAAATCTCTTCTCACTGAAAATACAAAATTAGCCATGTGTGGTGGCGCATGCCTGTGATCCCAGCTACTTGGGAGGCTGAGGCAGGAGAATTGCTTGAACCCTGGAGGCAGAGGTTGCGGTGAGCCAGGATCGTGCCATTGCACTCTAGCCTGAGCAACAAGAGCGAAACTTAGTCTCAAAAAAAAAAAAAAAAGAAAGAAAGAAAGAAAAAAGAAGTGAGAAGTGGCCTATAATACATTGCAAAAGGCAGTGAAATCTTAGCTGGGTGTAGTTGCTCCTGCCTGTAATCTCAGCACTTGAGAGACTGAAGTGGGATGATTGCTTGAGCTCGGGAGTTCAAGACCAACCTGGTCAACATAGCAAGACCCTCATCTGTATAAAAAATAGATTAGGCCGGGTGTGGTGCCTCACACCTGTAATCCCGGCACTTTGGGAGGCCAAGGCGGATGAATCACCTGAGGTCAGGAGTTCAAGACCAGCCTGGCCAACCTGGTAAAACCCCATCTGTACTAAAAATACAAAAATTACAAGAGTGGTGGTGCATGCCTGTAATCTCAGCTACTTGGGAGGCTGAGGCAGGAGAATTGCTTGAACCTGGAAGGCGGAGGTTGCAGTGAGCCAAGATCATGCCATTGCAGTCCCACCTGGGTGACAAGAACCAGACTCCATTTCAAAAAAAAGAAAGAAAGAAATTATCCATGCAAGGAAGGTGACCTGTGCCTGTGGTCCCAGCTACTCTAGAGGCTGCACTGAGTGGATTACTTAAGCCTAGGAGGTTGAGGCTGTAGTGAGCCATGATTGCCCCACTCACACTGAAGCCTGGACAACAGAGCAAAACCCTGTCTTAAAAAAAAAAAGACACTGAAGACTTGCACAATATGACATGCCACTGTTCTACTGCACTTTAATGAATGTATGCAAAAGATGTATTGATGCTGTGTATTTTAACAATTCCAGAAAGACCTAGAGAATAAAATAATTAAAATTAATATCATCTAGAATTATATTTCCTCAAGCCATAGAACCTTCCCTCCCC